CTGTTGTGATAGGTTGAGTGTGAGCGTGCCTGGTGGGACTTGAAAGATGGCTGACCGCACCTAGGTGGAACAATCCGGGACATTGTGGGGAGATCGCAACAGCGCTGTGGCAAGCTCCAGGTCACAGGAAAAAAAAAAAAAAAAAACCCTACATTTCGATTTACGAAGTTCTCATTGGAGTACTTGCTACTACCACCAAGATCTGCACCGGAACCTGTAGTGAGCCCGAGCCCGTGATCCCGCAATCCGTCTGCATGTGTGTGAGTTTGCCCATTGGGGACCCGATAAGTGGCTAGCACTACCAGTGCGGAGCATACTAGGGCAAGCTCCCTGAGGATGAATGCAACGTTATCAGGTAAAAAGTTCGCAGGACTTAGGAAAAAGGGGCGAAAAATCAATCGAACCGTCTAGTAGCTGGTTCCCTCTGAAGTTCTCTTGAATCGCTAGCTCCTTTCGAAGCTTCTTTGAGGACAGTCGGGTTTGTCGGGTGCTGTTACCGCGCGGTTGTGGGAACGCATTGTGTGACAAGGAATGACACCTACGAAAACATAACAGAGAATGAATGCAGCGAAGAAGATGGTGGAGGGGGAAGGTCTGAGGAGTAGAGAGTCGAGCTCGCCCGTTCCTTAATGAATTTGGGCGGTCTAAAGCTCGATCCCGAGGTTCTTGGTTGTGGCGAGTCGCATTGCACAGTTGGTTTAGTCGATCAATTAGTAGAAAAATAGCTAGTACAGAAAGTTGGTGTGCGAAGATATGACGGGAGAGGAGATAGAGGAGGAGGAAAACCGAGAATATTGCTTGATTCTCAATGAAACCAATGGAGGAAGAGTTGAAATAGAGGTTCTGGAGGTGGGCGAACCCGAATCCAGGTTTAGATTGGACAGGAAGTTAGTAGGAGGGATACGGGTTGCACGAAGACTTTCGTACGCGAGGGAGCGAAAGGAAGGGCGTAACGATGGTTTCGTTCGGACCTCGACGAGATCGAGCAGAAAGGAGTGCTAGATTGAGTTCAGGACGATGGGAATAAGGCGAAACGACAATTATCGCGAAAAGGTTGAGGGCTCGGTCGCTACCAGTATTACGACCTGCGCTAAGGGAGGACGATTCCACGAGTGGCAGATGAATGATTCCGCTTCTAGGGGGAAGATTCAAAAAGATGGGAAAAAGGTAGGGACGTGCATTTAATCGACGACAGTAGTTCGGGGCCCGAAAGTGTGAAGGATCGGATCAGAGATCTGTATCTTGTCTTAGCGGAGGAGTCCATCTCATTCCTGCAGTGCGAGTTCGTCGTGTTACAGCGAGAAGGTGAGACAAGGTACAAGTTGTGATTGAGTCGCTCGCCTTTCCCGAACTAGAAAATTGTGGTAGGGGACTGGTTGCGACATGCTTCTGATTTCTAGCGGAGGGCTCGCTCGGTTTCTGCTTATTATAAACTGTGGGAGGGACGTGAAGCAGGCTGTGAGGCTTGAAAATCTACCTGCTAGCCAGTACACCGCCCACGCTAGCATGCGAGGCGGCATAAGTCCAACTGTCAGGCTGCGCTCATCGTATCGACCGAAGTAACGGGGAGTAAGTTGCGTAAGATTGGAGACTTACCTACGGATCAAGGTGCCGTTCATCTCATCGAGGAAGGTAGCGGGGAAACGCGCTGCAAAGTAAGGACTTACCTGCCAACCAGTGCACCACCCATTGTTGTTTGTGGATCCATACCGTGACCGAAAATGCTCGGAGAGGAGATTGAGGTCGGGCTGTTGCAGCGAACCGAGCCTTGTTTTGGGGAAAGATTCATCCTCATTTGCATATTTGGGGCGATGCACGAGCTTCTCGTAGTCCCTGTATGACTCGCGAGATGAGGGTGTATGGACAACGAGGTTGAGCATCGCGGTCGCCGTCTTCGCTGCTTGCTGCATTTCGCCGACCAATCGAATAGAGAAAGAAGGGGGGGGGCGACGTTCGTTACGGACACAGCGAGTAAACAAGGCGTAAAGGAGATGGAGTTGAGACACGTACCTGTTTCCTTGTGAAGACTTCACGAATAGAGTTGGCGGCTGCCCTTTGGTTGTCGATTGTTGTACGCTCGGATAAAACACAACTGCAGTAGAAGTCGGATTTGACCAGATCCGTAAGTATCTTACTTACTGCTGCTAGGTTTCGGCGGTGTTGCTGATTTAGAACCAGTGTAAACAACAAAGTTGTTGGCGAAGCTGTTGACTAGTGTGCGGCTTAGTCCATTGAGCGAGTTAGCAGCAAAGGAGCCACGACTTGAGGAGTTGTCCGCTGACTTGTGCGTTGCTCAGCCTGCCGAATGGGGTAGTTGGAACCGACCGGTGGCCACTACGCTTAGAGTCGAGGGAGCCGTGAAGTGATTGTGATTGTTGAGAGAGAGGTATTGCTGCGAGTTGAAGAATCTTCAGGGAGTCAACGGTTGGTGTTTTGACTTCGAGTATGAGAGCACCTTTTGGCCGTCATTGTGGGGCCCTCAGGCGCACAAAGGTTTCAAGGCCCTCTCCCGAGAGTTGAGTCAGTGCCTCTCATGTATCTCGAGAGTCTGACCCTCCATTCTGCCCTTCTTATTCTAAGTCTTATCTAAGGTTACCAGAGGAAGGCGGCCGGTGGGATTGCAACCCGTAAGACCGCATCAAGACTCTGTGGGGAGACTGCCCACTAATTGTGGGAGCTCTGCCGAAACTCATGAGGATTTCTGGAGGCAGGGAATTGAAAGGTAAAACTTCATCTTCCTTCTATAAACCCATTTATAACCTCTATCTGTACATCTTCCTACAACTTTACGTATGTACTGCATGCATCCCTATTTGACTTTGAGTTGAAATTTCAAGACTCAAATCAGACTTGAGTAAAGGAATGTGTGAACAATCTCAGTTTCACTTTTATTGTTTTGCCTGAAGTCAGATTGTGAAAAGGGTTTGCATCTGGGGAAATGCGAGAGAAAGGCAATATTGTTTGCGTTTCATCGGGTCAACCAGAGACTGGGCATTGTACTAAGTTGGACGTCCTTGTGCTATATTTTATTTTGATTGCATAAGGACGAGACATGTTTTCATAAGTTTGGATGGTCTAGTTGCTCTGACTTGCGAGGGCTGGTTGCGATTGCATTTTCAGGGACCAAGCAGGTTTCCATAAGTTTAGATGGCTTGGTTACCTTCTTATTTTGGGGGTTTGTAATGTTTATTGGTTTCTGAAAGGAGTAAAACGTTTGTTCCATAAATTTAGATGACTGTAACTTCTTGTTTATTTTGAGGGAGGATCAGACGAAGGGCTGAACAAGTTTTATAAGTTTGGATGGTCTGGTCTGGAGTTTCGCACATGCTGGAACCAGAACAGTAAATTTGTCTATATCTTTATACTTATTAATTTATGAACAGGCTGGTCAGAAATTGTTCCATAAGTTTAGATGGTCTGACTACAACTTATCACAAATTGAAGGGAGTACTCATTAAGAATAAACTGGTGGTAAGAAGGGTCAGGCTAAACCATGTTTGTGAGTTGAACGGTTCACTCATCTGATGCCTTAAAAGATTAAGTTTAGACAATTATATATAACTTGGATATTTTAAACAATTCAGGGTGACTAGGTTGGACAATGTAGTCACATGCCCAATGAAGAGAAAAATTGTGGTGCCCTGTGTTTGTGTACTTTGTGTCCCACCGTACAGATACGGGGAGTACGAACGGCCGTACGACCGTACGTACGCGCCTCCAGGCAGTCATACGGGTTGTACGTATGACCGTACGACACGTTTTCGGGGCCTTCTCGGGATGGGAAATGGGATCTGAG